GGAGAGAGAGAAGGGAGAGAGAGAAGGGAGAGGGAGAGGGAGAGGGAGAGAGAGAAGGGAGAGAGAGAAGGAGAGAGAGAAGGGAGAGAGAGAAGGGAGAGGGAGAGGGAAAGAGAGAAGGGAGGGGAGAGGAGGGGAGGGGGAGGGAGGGAGAAAGGGAGGGAGGGAGAGAGAGAGAGAGAGGGAGGGAGGGAAGAATAAGTTAGAATAGGATGATGTCATATTAGTAAATGTGGGGGTTTCTACTCAGGAGTGGTGGCAGGTGGTAGTGATTAAGAAAATAATATTCTATAGCCAGGAATGATAATCATAATACTCAGGCTGGAACAGGAAGATGTAGAAGTGAAGGTTATCTTTGACTATATAGTAAGTTTGAAGTCAGCTTGGGCTACATGAGATCATGTCTCAAAAAACATAAACAAAGCAAGACAAAAGAACAAAACTCGAAAGTAAACCAATCCTAACCAAACCAAACCAAACCAAACCAAACCAAACCAAACCAAACCAAACCAACCCAACCCAACCAAGCAAGCAACCAAACCAAGCCAAGGTATTCAGGGGCTAAAAACCAAACCACATAGAAGAAAAGATGTAGAAAAAAATGTACAGACATCTTAGTGGTCAAATAGAGTCTCTGGTGCTCTTTCATCTGGTCATCCTAATCCTATGTGAACATTGCAGAAAGGAAAAAGAATAAAAGAGAAAGAAAGGAAAAACTGTGAAAAAATGTGTCACTGGACCTTAATGGGGGACCCATGGTTTATGGAAGATGTTACTTTGTTCTGGTCACAGAGAATGCAAGCAAACTGAGCTAGATTGGGAAAAGGACTTGGAAAACCCTCAGCTCTCTTGTCCGGTCACATCACATTTTGCAGGCTTCATAAATTCCTTTGTGCATCTTCCTACTGCTCTATGGTAAAGTCCAATAAACCAGTTAACATTTGAAGAAATGAATGAAAAAAAAAACATATGTTTATCTAAAAAGGAAATATGTAAAACAATTCTAAACCAAATAGTACAGGTGGGGATTTGAAACAAATGACCAGTCTTTTATCACTAAGAATCCGTGAAACCATTAGATATGGATGACTGCTCATACTCTGGTCTGGATTTTATAATCTTGTTCTCTCATGATCAATAGAAACCTTCAATATCCTATAATAAGCCAAGGTTGTACACAGCAGACTGCCTACTTCCTTTCAGTGGGACTGATATGCTGACTTCACAGGGTTCAGAAGGTCTACAGATCCCAGAGCTTAGCCTTGTGAAAAGTATAGAAGGCTCTTTACTGCAACTTTAGTCTATCAGCTGTCTTTCTTCTTAACAGTGAATTGCACATCCAAGCTCTAGCAAGTCTTGCGTAGATGGGAACACAGTCTTCTATATCGGTTACAAAGTTATTACAAAGTATAGGTGTCTTTGATAAAGGACAGAACATGTGACTGGGACAAAAATATACTTCCCAGGTTGGGTGTTACAGAAAAACATACCTTTTGGTTTCTTGAGGGATAGCATAACTGCTTCCTGTGTCACCACACTACAAACATGGCTGGGTGCAGTGGAGTCAGAGGCAGTCTTGATTCTTGCTGCAGTAGAGGTAAGATGGAGTTATACTCTTGGTTTTTCTTTGAATGATTCAGAGAGCAGCCTGAAACTGCCAACTTGTGGATGTAAGGGCAGATGCAAATTATGAGCGTACAGTAGGACAGAATCTAGAACTGAATTTATCCTCAATGAAAAATGACTACAAATTAGCCAAAGCCTAAAGTCTTGAATTAAGGAAAGAACTTAAACTTGGGAATTCAAAGTACTCAAGCCTAATCAAGACCTATTTAGGCTACTTAAGAATAAAGTTTAACTATACTTAAAGTGTAGATATCACTGTTAAAAGTTTACTTAGTTTAGTTCTAAATGGGTTCTAAAATAGAATTAAGATTTTAAAAGGGCTTAGAGTGAAACTGGATCCTAAGTATAATTAATATGTGCTTAAGTATTATTAATCTATAGTGAAGATCTTTATTTGGTTAAAAACTGTTTAGATAGGCGTGGTGACACTTCTGCAATTCCAGCCCCTGGGAGGCTGATAGGGCAAGAATGCTGGGGTTTTGAAGCCAGTCTGATATATAGCACGTCCTAGCCAATCAGGCTACATAGCAAGATCCTATTTCAAAACCAGAGAAGTTCTCAGGATTTAGTTCAGCAGTAGACTGTTTGCTTAATGTATACAAGACTCTGGGTTCCATCTCCAGCACCACAAAGGAAAAAAAAAGGAGGTAGGCAAAGTGACATATGCCTTCACTCTCAGCACTTGGGAAACAGCAAGGGCAACAGTAGCAGCAGCAGCAGCAGCAGCAGCAGCAACAGGAGCAGCAGCAACGGCAATGGCAGGTTATAGGGACATAAGCAGTGCCAACAGCAGGGGCTGGGGCTGGGGCTGGGGCTGGGGCTGGGGCTGGGGCTGGGGCTGGGGCACGGATAGGAGTGTGGGCTTGGGTAGGGACAGGCAGATGTGAGTTTGAGCCTTGTGTAAGTAGTGAGTTCTAGTCAGGAAAGGGCTACATAATTAAACTCTCAAAAACTGAATCCAAAATGAATGAACAAGCAAACATAAAAAAAAAAAAACCCTAGCAGGGGCAGTGGCATATGCCTTCATTCTGAGCACTCATGAGGCAGAGTTTTTTATGAATTTGAGCCCAAAGAAAAAGGGTAGATATGGTGTCATATGGCTTTAATCTAAGGATTCAAGAGCCAGGAGCGGCAGAGGCAGAGACAGGCAGATCTGTGCCGGTCTCCACTGGGAGTTCTAGTTCGTCCGGGGCTGTATATTAAAACCCTGTCTCCAAAGCAAACAAATCAAAAGGTAAATCTTAGGTTTTAAGATTAGTTTAGATCTATTCAGTGCCAAGAGCAGGAAAGCCTTAGCCAGTGCCTATTAACTGTCGTGTTAAGCCCTTGCTAGGGTCTTAATGTAACTAATCTTTGAGTGTCATGTAGTTACATCTTAGCAAGTTCATAAACATAGTCTCAGTCACCTTAAGACTTAGCTAGGACCTAAGTTAATTAAGATGTAATAGAATATAGTTAAGGTGTAGGGAGGGTTACAGTGTAGTTAAGGGTCAGGTCATATAAGGTTTGTGATAGTACTTGTTTTATTTTTAAATCTCTCTCTCTCTCTCTCTCTCTCTCCCCTCTGTGTGTTTGTGTTTAAGGGTCAGTCAATTTAAGGTTTTAAGGTTTTGATAGTATTTGTTTTATTTTTAAGTGTGTGTGTGTGTGTGTGTGTGTGTGTGTGTGTGTAGGTAGGTATGTGCACATAAATGCAGGTATTTGCAGAGGCCAGCAAAGGACACTGTATCTCCTGAAGCTAGGATGCTAGGAACCAGAATTGTGTCTTCTCTAATAGCAAAAATTAATCTTAAGCTCATGCTGTCGCTCCAGCCACTGACTTTATTATATCCTAGTTACATTTGGACATTCTCTGTATACCTTATCTAGCCTTAGGGCTTAATAAGGTTCTGGCTAGACCCAAACTAGGCTTATATACTACTTTGGCCTTAAATGGACTCTAATATTTTAGTAGGCCCAGGTCCTGCCTAGAATTCAGTTAGACTTGATTATACCTTAACCAAGTTTAGGCCTTATTAAGTCTTAACAAAGCTAATCACTGTTGTTAGTAAGACTCCAATAAGCACTAGTCAGGGCTTACGCCTGATTCAGGCTGGTCAGAGCCCCGCTAAGCTCTGGCTAACGTCTAAGTTTATTTTAGCTTCATTCACCGTCCAGCTGAGCTCTCATCAGGGTCCGATAGTACGTTCAGCCACAGTACACACAGCTCCTCACAATGGCAGTAAGCGTAATTTAGTAGAAGTCAAAACTTAGTTAAATTTAGTTGTGTCTATATGAAGCTTAGGATTTACACATTGCCTAAGATTCCTTATGATTGAATTAAAATCTAGTGAACTCTGCACATACATAGCCGGATGTGTACTAAACACACTTACAACCTGCTCACACTATCATTCATGTTGTCTAGAACCTTAGCATTGTTAAGGCTTGTCAAAAATCTTATTAAGGTATGGCTGAAGCACTTAAAAGCTGGATTGCTAGGTTAAAGAGCTCTTTAGAGTTTACGTTAGTCCTAGGTAGTTATAATTGCTAGATCAAGCTTGGTTAAACTCAGAGTCTAGGACTATGTTGGGTCTAGTAATAGCCTCTGTATTTCTAGTCACAGTGTGTAAACCCCAGTGAGGGCCTAATATTAATTAAGTCTGAGGTACAGCACACTTAAGTCCTATTAGAGAGTGGTAAAGAGTCAGCAAGTGCCTCAACCTAGTTAGTAACACAGAATAAAATCTAGCTGAAGGCCAGGCAGGGCCTCAGTCTCTGTAAGAATTATTGATCAGAGCCCAAAGAATGTATAGCTAACACCTAAGTCTAGTTTAGTTTGGAGATCACAGTTAAGCCCTAGCCAGGGTCTAAGACTTGTTTAGGTATATAGAGAGACTAGTTAGACTCTATGCAAGAAATAAGCCTGGTTCTGGTTTATTAATAGTTAAGACGTAGTTTGGGCTTCAGGCTCATTCAGATATAATTCAGTCTAATTTTGGTTTTGACAGGAGCTAGTCCAAGAGTCTCACTTAGTCCTAGTTAGAGCTTAGTTCACACCTGTCCAGGATCTAATGCTACTTTAGATTCTTCTAGAACCCAAATAATTCAGGTTTAGTTAGAACAAACATAAGTTCTTTTGAGCACAGAAGGCTAATTTAGGTCTAGCAGGAGCCCAGGCAAACCCTCTCTCAGGAAACAAACCTATTAAGTGCTATTCATAATGTAATTAAAGTGTTGCAACTTTAAAAATGTAGTTTAGTTCTCCTAAGAGTTTATTTAAAGCCTCAGCAGTTCATAAATACAGTTTAGTTCTCTTAAGGGTTTAGTTAAGATTGTCTAGGGACTAGCCCTCATTGAACTGTAAGTAAATCTAGTTGAATTCTATACTGGGCACAGCTCTAGTTATGTGCTACAAAATAGGTAAAATCTTGCCTGTTTCTGAGACTAATTTAGCCCTATCTCAGTTAAGCCCTAGATTAGGTGTAGCCAGATGTTAGTTAAGGCATAACTTGAGTGTGAATATAGTGATTACTCAGATATAACTAAGTCTGTTTAAGGTATAGATAGGGTCTCACCATAATCAAGTGTTAACTAGGGGGCTACTTAAAACCTAGCTTATACTTACGCCTAGTTTAAATACAATCAGAATCCAGTTATGATACAGGCAGGTCCTAACCTTAGATTAGCCTACGTCAGAGCCTAGTTAAGCCCTCACCAAAGCCTAAGCCTAGTTAATTTCTAGTTTTAACCTAATTATGTCCTAGGAAAGTCCTAGAAATCGTATAGTGTTATTGAATTTACTTTAGATTTAACCAGGGTGTAGGTGTAGCTACAGTATAATTAATCCTGGATAACTTCTAGGCAGAGGTTCAGTGTAGTTAAATGTTAGATTTTACTTAAAGTCTAATTAAAAACTGAGCCCAGGTTAAGTCTTGCCAGAGCCCAGTTAAGACCTATTGAGAGCCCAAACCTGGATCAGGCAAAGTCACCTCAGTTAAGACCTAGGCAGAACATTTATTTGATTAAGTACTAGTTAGCTTATTTAAATTCTTTTCAACTCCATTAAGGCAAAGTCAAGACCCTAAACATACTTGCAATATAGTCATAGTATAGTAAGCAGGGCCTCAACACCATTGAGATCTGTCAGAGTCCTATTAGGGTATAGTTGAAGTCTCATTCTAGTTAAGAACAAATTAGTTTGGTTTAAAACACACTTACGTTATTTTTTTAAATATTAAAATATATTTGTCAGCTTTTGCTGCAGTTGAGTCTTTGGTAGCTCCAAATAAAGACAAAGTCTAGTTTAATTCTAATACTGACTCGATGAAGGATTATTCATGGTCTACACTTAATTTATGTGTAGTCAAATCCTGGTAGTACTTGCATAATTGGAGACTGATTAAAGGCCAAATGTTAAGTTTTAGACAGAAACCATTTATGGCAGGGCCCATACCCGTGACTGTCATGAGAACATAGTGACAACACAGTTAAATCTTATACAAATCTTTTTAAAGGTACACCCAAATCTTAAGAATACTTCGAGATTAGCCATCTTGATAAAGGCCTTACTGAGTTAAGGTTAAATTGTAACATTATTCCAGCCCAGTTAAAACCTTGACAGTCCAGTTAAAGCCTAGCCAGGGCCAAATCCCAGTTAATACATCGTCCATAGGGAAATCTCAGTTAATACCTCCATAGGGACTGAAGCTAAAGGCAGAGCTCCAGTTTATATTAAGCCTTGCCACAGTCTTGCTAGAATATAGCAAGGGTCTATGACAATTTTAAGAGCTACTTAAGTAACTTAAGACCTAGTCAGTCACTGAGGGTCTTCTCTAGTCAGGGCAGAAGCCCAGTAAAAGCATCTTCATTTCAGCTATGGCCCAATGAGGGTCAAGCTGAAGCTTCAACAAGTTCTGTTTAAGTCTAATCAGAACCCAAGACATTGAAAGCCCTAGCAGCCCTATTAAAGTTTGACTAGGATGTAAACATAGTTTAGGCTATTCAGAACCCACTTTAATCCCACCCAGATCTAAATCTCAGTTGAGATCTTGTGAAAACGTTGTTAGTCCCTGAGCTGGGCTATAAATCCAGAGAAGGTGTTGTGCGAATCCCTCTGGAATAGCACTCTGACATCAATGAGCGTGGAAGAGAGGAGCGCTCTTCACCGGAGAACTGAGGCCAGGATAGTTCCAGAGCGGCCTCTGTGCCAGGTCCAGTTTGCCGTCTCATTTTATACTCTAAAGCCACAAGGTGGGGTGAGCAAGCAATTGATATTTTACCAAAGTGTACGTGGCAGTCTGCCTTCTGTTTTTAAAGGCAGATTTTTTAAAAGCTGAGAGGGGTAAGCTTTGGTGGTCAGGTTGTTAAGGGCAACAACTCATTGTTTCAGCTATTTCTTCAGGTCACTCTGTTCCAGGTGGCAAGGGAAATCATGCTTGGAACTGAGCAGCACAAATAGTGCTTTAAGAAAGTCTAATAATTGGTCTTTTTTCTGCCTTATTCTGCTTCATTTCCTCCTCTTCACCCTCATAATGCCTTAGGAACCTGTCTTGAAGAAACGGGTTGGTATGCCTGGTGTTATCGTTTGTAGGTTTTTTTTTTTTTAAATTGCTTTCATTTGAGTTCTGATGAACTGGCTGGCCAGGGTGTTTGTTCAAGATGCATG